GCAGGTGAGTCAAAGAGAGCCTTTGTCTATGAAGCTGGTATTTTCCTATTTAGTTACTATTAAGGATTGGTGTTTCTCTAGATTAGAATCATGGTATTGGAAGAAACCTCAAAGATCATCTAGTTTAATCCCCTCATTTTATAGCTGAGGAAATATCCTTTTTGTTTGTTTGATTTGGTAATTAGTAATGTCCAGAGGAGTTTAAGACAACAGTTGAACTCTGTACATACTTGCTTCCAGCAGATTGTTGTTCTCTAGCTGAGTTCTTCATATATAATAATATTGACACAGTGGTAATTGTGGCTGATGAAAATGTTACAGGTCTCCATTTTCAGTTCTTTCCTCTGTTCCTTATTTCCACCTATCTTTCAAACTTTGTCTATATAAATTATATAATAGTCCACAAGGAGCCCACAACTGGGTTACCTGCCATATTGCTTTCATTAGGAATTATTACTTGACCCTGTCTAAGATCTGGTCTGATCTATAATGGTGTGATTGTCAGCTTTTGTTTGTGAAGGACTCTGCTAATCTCACAATTGGAAGGAAGTGCTTTTTTAGCCTGAAAAGCACTGAAAGCAACGTAGCAAGGTGGTGATCTTTGCGTTCTATTGGAATGTCTGCTCTGTCCTAGTACTCCTGCTGTTTAGATATCTTCACTCTTGCCTTCTTATTAAGATAAACTTGTAAGCATTTTTTAAAACTATCTTTCAGTGATCATTTAAATGTTGGCCCTCATTTGCATGTCCATAACACAATGTTCTGCACTATTGCCCTGATTTTTGTGACTGTGTGTCCTCAGTCTTTGACCGTTCCATTTCAACCAGAGGTTACTGAAAGAGAGAGCAGATTTTAATAAGTGAATCAGATTGGTCAGCTTGCTGCAACTCTACCTGGAAGAGCTAAAATATTTGATCTTGCTCATTTGACAGTTCTGTGAGCATATAACTAGTATTTCTCATTAGGACTTCTGTCTTTTTCCTATAGCGTGGGAGACAAAGAGTTGTTACAAATCACCCCTCAAGGAGCCAGGGCTAAAACCAGTTTGGATTCTGCAAAAAAGGGTAATGACAAGTCTTCCCAACTTAATAGAAACTAAAGAGAGAGATTAAATACAGTACTGTAATTAGATTATTCTGAAGACCATTTGGGAACTTCATAATTCACAAAATCTCTTGGCATAGGTAGAATATCATTCTTTCTCAGATGACATGGTATAGCTTGACATATTTAAATGGTACTAGACTAATGTGATTATAATGGTACCTTACATAACTGGTTGTTGCCCTTTATTTTTAATTGATGTATTTGTATTTCATCTTTTGCCTACTAATTTTTTTTATTTTTTTATTTTTTGAGGCAGAGTCTCACTCTTTTGCCCGGGCTAGAGTGCGGTGGCGTCAGCTTAGCTCACAGCAACCTCAAACTCCTGGGCTCAAGTGATCCTCCTGCCTCAGCCTCCCGAGTAGCTGGGACTACAGGCACACGCCACCATGCCCG